AAGTATTCTAAGCAGCTTAACTTAGAGTTTCCTATTAATTGTATTCTAATTCTAAAGGAATAGTATTCTAATTTACTATTATATTATAGGGAGCTACCTAATTTCTTAGGTAGTAGTTATTACCTAGTATAACTGTGCTTTGTAGCTAAGCTTTACTAACCCTCTAATTTAATAGAGTTTATATATAGGTTATAATGCTTTAGTTTAATAATAGCTTAGTCTTACGTAGTATCTATTGTACTAAAATAAGGTCAGCCTAACTAATCTTAAGTTAATATAACTTATTAGTTAATAAGTTAACTTTATACTAGGTAGCTAGAACTTCTAGAGGCAATTACTAGGGTTTCTTACTAATAGTTATCTAGGGAACTTAATAGGTTATTAGAGAAGCTAATTAGAACTAAGTTATCCTAGTAATATCTAATAGCTAGTAGTCTAAATAGGTCTTAGAGATATAAGATTAGAATTCTTAGGTTAGGCTAAACTTTTTTATAGCCTTATTAAGGTTTAGTAGGCGTACTTCTTTCTTAATATTTACTTAGTAGCTAAGGAATTTACTAATCTAGCTAAACTTAAACTCCTAATAGCGTATTATAGATAGACTAAACTTACTTAGGACTCTAGTAGCGTAGTTAAGAGGAAGCCTCTTAATAAGGTAGAAGCCCTTTTTCTTACTCTTAACAGTGCCTATAGAGATATATTACTCTAATCTAATCTTAAACTTCTTAAGGTATTATTAGATATTAAGATCCTTTCTTAACTAGTATTTATAAAGCTACTATTTAAAGAACTTAATTTATTTCTTCTATTAGGCGCTGTTATTACTCCTAAATTTGCGTTAGAGAGCTTTTCTTAGTGTATCTTAGTCTTTACCTTTAAGAGCTGTTTAGTATTTCTTAGAGTAATAAATAATATTCTTCTGCCTTTACTAGCAGTAGGTAATTACTTATTAAATCTTATTAATCTCTAAGAAGCTGTAATACAGAGTAACTTTCTTATATTACTTAATAAAAATAGTAACTTTAGTACTATTAAAACTTAGTATATACTTAGTAGAGAAAGGTATCTAGCTAAGCTTTAATTAGTTCTAAATAAGCGTTACTATTATTTAAGCTATATTTACTAGAAATAGAGCAGTTAGGTTTATTAATTTAGTATTAGGCTTTAGAAGTTTTGCCTTGCCTTTAAATAGGCTAGGAGTTTTATTATTACTTAAGTTATTCCTAGGTTTCTCTCTCTAGGCTTGCGTTAGGAGAGCTAATAATTAACCTGCGTTAAATAATAAATACTTAGTAGAAGGGTTAGTGTTTAGGGTATAACCTATTAGTAAGAGATTATTAGTTATCTTAAAAATAAGAAAGGTATAAATAAGAATTGCAAAGATAAGTAATAAGTAAGCAGTAAGAACTATCTTAACTACTATAGGAAGAAGAAGTAAAGATCTCTAAAAGGTCTTTGTAGTAGAAAAGATTATAAGAAAAGTTATTATTACTGTTATATATCTATTCTTTGTTAGTAAGCTTCTTGCCTTATTTATTCTTCTCCTTTTCGTCTACACCTAGCAGCACTTACTACCCTTAATCTCTTTCTTCTAATTATTCCTTAGCTAATTCTTATTACTAAAGAGTACTTAAGTATAACTATAGGTTATACACTAATTACATAAGTTTTATAGTAGTAAGATAATCTCTAAGAGTTATCTAAGCATAACTAGTATACTAGCTATTACATTAATAGCTTCTTTAGGGGTAACTCCTTAGTTTTCTAGGTCTAGTATAATCCCTAGTTATAAGGTTACTAAATTTCCTAGAGGTATACTAATACCTTATTAAGTTCTTAAAGTACTAATTCTTAGGTACTAAATGCAATTTAGTATTATACCTATCTTATATTAGTTTCTTAATCCTTAACTTAGACTTACTAAAGTTTTATTATTATTACTAAAAATTAATTGCTCTCTAGATAAACGTATTATAAGAATAATTTAGTATTATGCCTAAATAGCTATAAATAGAAAGCTTCTTTAATCCCTGCATAGGTTACTATATATAGAGGAGAAGTCTTTAACGCCTCTTTAGGCACGTGTAGCTTAATACTAGATAGGATAAGTGTATTATTAGTTAATACTCTGTTAAGCTCCTATTAGAGGCTTAACTACTATGTACTAATTCTAGATTATATAACCTGCGTTATATAATCTTACTCTAATACTTCTTTAGATATACTTTCTATATTACTCTACTACAATAGGTAGTAATTAATACTTATATAGGTAGTAGTTAACTACTGCCTGTGTTTCCTAGGTCTCTTCTAATAACAATTTTTAACTCTTAGCGTAACATCCTTTAGTAAAACCCAAACAAAGCTTAATTAATACTTTACGCTTAGACGCCTCTATATAGTTTATTATATAATTTGCGTACATCCTTAGTGTAAAGGTATACAAGTAGGCTATTAAGGCATTAATCCTAAAACCTATTAAACCTCTACTCCTATCTAAGATAGACACTCTAACGCGTTTAGTTAATTGTATAGATCGTCTTATTAACTACAGTAAAAAGCTAAGTGTCGACTGTTAACAGCTTTAAGAGCGAACTAAATCTACTAATAATATCTACCGGAGGTCCTACGAACCGACAAAAATACTAAGTAGCGCTATCTATACTATCTGTATACAAGGTACTTACCTGCTATTTCGGTGTATAAACGATAATTTAGCCCAGCATTCCTTCCTCGACTAGAAGGATTTACGTGCTTCTGCTAATAAGCTTATATTTTTCTTTAGCTCGATAACAAGGCAGCTATACTATATATTATGTTCTTAAGGACAGCCTCTGAAATTCGCTGCATCTCTACTCCAAGATGTTTACTTCCTTATAAGGCCTAGAAAGGGTCCGGGTCGACTTCTTTAAAGCTATCGACCTAGTAACCCTAATTATCTCTGTTTACAAGAACAACTAACGCTAAAACTATTCTATTATTCGTAAGCTACACTATATCGGGAGACAGGCGTAGCTTCTATTAGAACATAATTATAATTAATATTGCCTTAATTAATATAATATGTCTAATAATTTTACTATGTCTAGATTAGAGGAGTTTTATTACAGATTACTGTGTTATAATCTTCCCTCAAAGTTAGTAATATTACTTCTACTAAGCTCTTGTATATAGTCGGACAGCGCGGGTTATTTCTCTCCTAACTATTACTACCTTTAACATTGATTTTTAGCCTTAGAAGGTTAGAAGAAACTTCTGTTACAACCTTGTTTACTATGCTAAGATAAATTGTAAAAAGTAAAAGATATTAGCTTAAAATAGTAATACTATTTTAAAATTTATTATATTACTGTACTATTCTTAGTATTAATCTATATTTATATATTAAATAAATTATAAATCTATTAGAGCTATATAGAATACTTCTTTCCTTATATACCTTTACAGAGACTTATAAGTTATAAATCCTAGAAAAATACTATACAGTAAAAAGAACAACTGTGTAAATTAAGTCTAGAAGATTAAAGTTAAAAGTTTAATATAGGCTATTCTATATACAACGCTGTAACACTTCTTATATTATTATAACTATCTATTTCTATATATCTATAGGAGGAAAAACTAGAATATCTATACTATAAGCTTTTAGATTTTAAGAACCTAACTAATAGAGAAATTTATACAAGTTCCTGTGTTATATAGCTACCTTTTTATTATTTATACTATACCTTTCTTTATCTTGTTAAGCTGCTCTTTGTTTACCTTGAAATATTTAGGCTAATACTCTAATTACTAGGTTTTATAATATAACTCTACCTAGCTACTCTAGTAAACCTTAAACTTAATATTATAATTAAGTATAAACTCTAGAAACAGTTAATACTTTAAGAAAGATAAAGCTTTACTTAATATAAAGATCTAGGGGCGTATAGCTAGAGTGTTAAGATTAAAGAGCTAAAAGAGTTAAGTAACTAGAATTAAGTAGTATTATATATATTTTTACTAGTCTTTAGGTATACTTATTTATTAATTAATTACACTCTTAAACACTTTAAGCCTATAAGCTTACCTTAATATTAAAAACAGACTAGGTTATATTAAAGAGCACTTAAATTACTTAAATAACAGAGAATCTCTAGAGAGATAGATTAGAGGAAGTTAGTAGTATAAAGTAGCTAAACCTTATAACTAAAATAGACTACTTATATAATAACTTACTTTGCTTATAAGGTAATACCTAAGTTTTATAGTAGTAGCCCTGCAGTAAACAAGAACTTAACTGCTAATACTAGGTTATATTTAGTTATAAAATAGCAGTTAGAAGAAGGTAGTAGCTAATCTAACCAAGAGCGCACTAAGATATAGTATACTCTAACTATAATAGGTAGCTCTGCCTTCTGTAATAGGAAGGTCTTATCTACTATATAAGAATATAAGATTTTAGCTTATTTTAGTATTATAAGCTTAATTTTTAGAAATAAGATTTAATTCTAAATTATTTCTTAGTTTTCTTAGTAAAAAAAAATTTTTTTAAGAAAAAAATTTATTTAATTTAGATTTAAATCTAAATTAATTCTAAATTAATTCTTAAAAATAAACTACTTTTCTTAGTAAAGAGAATTAAATCCTAATTAATTTAGATTTAATTCTAAATTAAATAGAGCTTCTTTCTTAGAAGAATCTTTAAAGATCTAATTCTTTTTACTAAGTAAAGTAATATTTATTTTAGAATTAATTTAGAATTAATTTAGAATTAATTATTAACTAAAAAAATCTTTCTTCTTTTAAAAATCTAGTTATATTAAGAAAACTTAAAATTAATTTAGAATTAATTTAGATTTAATTCCTTAGACTTAAGAAGCTAAAGTTTAGCGACGCGCATTGACTCCTTGGCATGCCATGTCTCGGCGCGCCCTTGGTTACATGGCCTGCTTCCTGAGTCAGGAGCAATATACATCGTTGACGAAAGTTCATCATTGTTGCGAGTCGCATTGACGGTCATGTCAGAGGTCCCGGTTTCGTCGGTGTCTAATGAGTTTGGGCAACAGCGTGTTGTGACCGCCTGTCTGCCTTGCCGCCGTCGGAAAGTCAAATGCGATCATGCCCAGCCTGTGTGTTCAGCTTGCAGACGAGGCAATCGAGCCTGTACATATGCAAGCCCTCAGCTCGGTACACCAGGACCTCTTCGCCGGACCGGAAACGGAGTGACCCGACAGCGACCCAGCTTGCGGAACGGACAAGACGAAATCAGAACACGCCTTGACAGACTCGAAAGGCTGCTCGAACAAGCGCTCAGCAAGGGCTACGAACGATCCTCTCCCGTTCCAGGAAGCGGTACAGTTCAAGATTCGGAGGATGAAGCTCACTCTGTCGGTGCTGTACCCAATTTGACAAGCCCACAAATCGACCATGAGACGCTCTCGGCCGATGGTTACGATGGCGCTCTACTTGTGGGCGCTGGTGCAGGCCATTCTCGGTGGGTTTCTTCGCTGCATTATGCATTATTAGCTGATCAGGTGAGTCAATCCATTCAGTGTTTCAAGTAGCTTGGTATGGCTAAAGAAAGTTCTCTCCAGATACATGATGTGAAGATGCTGCTCGGAGAGCAAACCAGAGGGAATTTTGCTGCAGATCCTATATCCTTGGATCAAGCAAGCCCTCAGTTCCCATTTTCAAGCACGACTATCGGTGACATAACTCGATGGTTACCCGGATCAGCGGAGGAATGTTTCAGCTTGCTGGAAATTTTCATCTCTAACGTTGACCCTGTGACAAGATTAGTTCACAAGCCATCGCTCAAAGATCGATTCACACACTACATCAATCACGTCTTTCGTCTGTGCATATATGACGACCATGATGGTAGCGATGCGAATATCTCGGCCACAAAGTTTCCCACATTTGAGCCTCTCGTTTTTGCCATTCTTCACTCAGCGATAAACAGCTTGTCACCTGAGTCAGTACTGGCCACATACAATGCGGACAGAGATTCTTTGCTAGCTCAATTCCAAAGAGGAGTTGAACTAGGTCTGGGACGAGAAAACTTTGTGACTACATCTAGCATCGAGGTTTTGCAAGCTTTCGTGCTTCTCCTGGTAAGTTGGACGATTTCTTTGACCCGTCGCTATGCCGTCTATACCGAGCTTACAATGACAGACTTGCCAATCTCGAGAAGATGATATGGCAAGAACATGGACCTTCCTTGGACTCGCGGTACGAATTGCTCTTTCGCAAGGGTTGCATCGAGAACCTTCCTTGTTCCCTTCCTACAACATGGACGTTGTCCAAGTTGAACTTCGTCGTCGACTTTGGCATCAAATCTGTCACCTTGATTATCGCGCTGCTGAAAGCACGGGACAAGAACCTAGTATATCAGATGATGATTTTACAACTTTGCTGCCTAGCAATATCGACGATAACAACCTGAAGCAGGGTTCCCATGCAATTTCTGAAACTACTTCAGTGCCTGGCTTTACGGACATGTCAGGACATCTTATCCGACTACATGGGATCCACTGTTTCAGGGATATTGTTAAAAGTACTTACCGGCTGGAGCGCCATTTGAAGTCCTCGATGATTGTCAGACCCAATACACTTCACCCAGTCGCTGAGTTCCAAGCCGTTTTCATCGAAGTGCGGACCAAGATCAACAAGATGAAAGACGATTTCCAAACACAGTACCTTGCATTTTGCAATCCTCAAATATCAGAACAACGCCTTGCGCTCGGTCTGGCTGTCATCGTTGAGTGGAAATGTTGGTCCATTTTATGGCTTCGAACACCACGAGAGTATCGCGAGGCCGTAATATCACCAGAGATTAGACAAACGTGAGTTCAGATGTGCCTTGTTGAGAGATTAGCTACCCGCTGACCTCCTCTACAGCGTTCTGGGAAGCTCTATTAGCTTATTGGAAAGCATCAACATGATGCCTGGGGACAAAGATGCCAAAAGGTTCCAATGGCACATTGGCAGCCATTCTTGCTTTCAAGCAATCATGCATATCATCTCGGAACTTGATACACCCGCATTCAAGTCCCCGCATCACGAAACACTTCGTTCTCGTGCTCTAGTTGCTTTACAATCAACAGTCAGTATGAGAGGTTGTGTGGGTAATCCAATATGGAATGTGATCGACCGGAAGATTTCGAACGGTTTGGGGAGTACTTCAGGACTTGCCCAATCTGCATTAGCAGTGTCACAAAAGATTACATTCCAACCGGGTACTACAAGTGATAGAGAAGGCGACCTCGCAGCTTTTGTGCAGCAGACATCTGCTCCGGCTTCAGTTGATGCGAATTCAGCATCGAACGCCAATGTGTTCAATGATCTTGAAAATCTCGACGGTCTTTACACGCTTGACCATACCGTTGATTTTGATTGGGTTAGTTATTCACGCAATATTCTACGTGCCATAATCTCATCTGACTGCAGCGAACAGACCTTTTTCAATGTAGACCCGACAATCTAAACCATAGCTTAGGGTAACTTTTGCGCCAGTAGCCCCTGCGAGAGACAGATATATGTGCCCGATATCGAGAGCCAAGAAGCTCTGCAAGGAATTTTGACCTTCTGCAAAATGGTGGTCGTATGACATCGTGCATTGAAAGAACAGTTCGATGAAGAATGTCCTGCATCAACGGACTTACAATGAACCTATGTAAGTGTAGTTCGCGAAAAAGTGTAGAATCTAGCTGGGTGTGATCTTGATTTAGGTGGTTATACAAAGAGCTTGGTTGTGTGTCGCTCACAAAAATGCTACTCGATCAGACTATCTTCCACAGCTGCGAGCCCCCTTTTTGAATTCGGGCGGCCAGGACACAGAATCCTCCGAGGATCATGGAAGCTCCTGAGAAGCACATGAGACCCGTGAAAGTGTCTCCCTCCTTATCTTTGATGGCACCTTCGATAGGCAAACCAGTCAGAGCTCCAAGCGCGATGCCCAAGCAAAAGCCACCTAACTTTAAACCAATTTCATCCACTCGACCATCGGCAAGAGAAACGACGCACGGAGGGCCTAGGCTTACAAACCCGCCACTGACGAAGCCATAGAGTAGTGCGAATATGACGACTCCTGGCTTCGAGGGGTGGAATTCAAGAGGCAACCAAAATGCGATGACCAAGATACCCGACAAGAATGTGACCAGGCACATAGTGTTGAACTGTCCAACCCGATCACTAGCCCAACCTGGTACAATTCGACCCACCAGCGATCCAGCATTTGCAATGGCAAGGGTATATTGCGCAAAATCTGTTATTCCGTGTAGGGAGGCCATCTCTGGGAGGTAGTTGAGGGGCGCGAACAAGCCCCACATGGTGAAGAAGCATCCGAGGACGAAGAACATCCATGCCCAACTCTTGAATGCTTTGAATCCTGAGCTTGATGCAGCATCTGTTTTAGTATCTCCTTTGCCCACAGGCGGGAAAGGAGACGAGCAAAGTAAGTTGGCCACTAAGAGAAGGACACCCTGCAAGAGGGCAGTCCAACGAACAGCGGAAGCGAAACCGACTTCTTCAATCAACCGTGGAATAACGCACGGATATATGACGCCGCCTGTTAAAACTATGGTCAGCGCGATCAAGTTTCACTGTAACATATGTCTGTAGATGCTCACCTAAACTGCTCCCTGCCGAAACAATTCCAACAGCCAATCCTCTCTTGGTGGAGAACCATTGTGTTGCGATAGCCATAGCTGGAATGCAGAGTCCTGCGGCGGCTAGACCAAAACAAACACCTTGAGCTAGCACGACCTGCCAGTAGGTCGTGCAAAGACTCAACATGCACACCGAAAAGATAGCCAGGATGCTGAAGGGTGGCAGAATCTTTCGACATCCGAAGACGTCAACAAGTTTGCCGATGGCAGGGCCGAACATGAAGAGAAGAAAGATCTGTAGTGTGGTGATCCAAGCAAGGGCAGACGATGACTGGCCGTTGAGTAATGATTCCTTATAATAGAGCTGGAATATACCGCAGCTAGACAAATGTCAGCAAAAGGGCAAGAGTAATGCTGGAGGCAGACTGACGCATTCACATAGCCAAACGAGCAAAATTGAAGAAGAAAAGAGCCTGCGACACAAGCCCATGCTTTGGCGCCTCCATCGGGCGGGGTGCGGTTGACGTCTGGGTTGGCCTCGATAGTTTGCTCAGCTTTCTCAAGTTTATTCAAGTGCGAACTAATCGAAGTGGAGGAAGCAGACATGGCCGAAGGCTGATGCTGTCTTCGAACGAAACGATCGTGTGTGAATAGAAAGTAGATTGAGAGGTTTCTGCTATGCGAGCGTGTGTATTTATGCTTTTCCAAGGTCACTCATAGAAGATGCGTATGTGGAGTATGTTAAGATCTGATGACCTATTAAGAGTTGTGAGACATATTCACGGACTCGGTGTCGAAATGTTTATCGTCCGAAGTGAATGTTATCATACTCTCTTGCACCGAATCAAACCAATCCCCCTGCATCCTACAATCACTTGCCCTTACGAGTCTAGTGCGTGTGGATGATTATAGTCTATTACTCCGAATGCGTTTTTTTGTTAAGCCCACCCATAATTAGAAGTGCGCAAGTCACCGTGGCTTAATGGCTGTGCCACAGCCATCATTGGCTACTGTCTTTAGGTATAACAAGAAAGATGCGTCCGGAATACGAATGTTTAAAAAGCTGGTCTTGAAGAATACCAACATGTGATAGCACGAAAGTAATTAGATTGAGGGGAGGCCTCGCGTTATTGGATGGACAACTCGCTGTATGTATCTCGGCCGAGTTCCACATATAAATATGGGGTAGGCGGCTAGAAGAAAACAAGTCCTGCGCAGTACGCAGCTGAAACCGCGAAGAAGTTAATAAATAGATAGATAGATTTTCTTGACTACTGTATCTAACCAACGGTGCAGCCACCAAGCCTAACACTCTCTGCAAACATCTCGTACGTATCCGCATTTGCAGCAGCCTGGGTGGCGCTAAGCTTTTGCGCTGCAACATACCCATACCCATAGTCGTCTGTACCGTACAAGTGCGTCATCTCGTGCAGAATGCTGCCGGCCTTGTCGTAGTCGTCGTTGCTACACTGAGGGGCAAGCTCAGGGAAACCCCAGAAGCCGTTGTTGGGACACGGTACGATAACGTTCGCGCTCGGTACGGTGTAGAGGAGTGCCGAGCCGTCGCTGCAGTCGCCGTAGGTGTCTGTGCAAGAGATCTTGGGCGAGGTTGTCTGCACGTTCTTGACGTCGTTGTAGATGGTTTGAACCTTGGACTTGACCGAAGTTGACTTGAACCAGGTGGTGAAGTAGTCGGCTCCGGAACCGGCGGCGGTGTACGCGGCACCGGCCATGGAGATGGCGTCTGCGACGCTAGTCTTGAGGGTAGACGTTTGCGACGTCGAGCACGAGGAGTAGGTAATGGAGCGCTTTTGAATGCGGGAGGCGGCAGGCTCAGAGCGCTTGTGAGAGATGTGTTGCCTAGGGAGCTGATATTAGTTCCTTCGTCTTGCCAGAGTTATGGTATTTGCGTACTCAGCTGCAATGCTCTGATCTGGAGTTACTTCGACTGCACCGGTCGTCTGGTCCGCACAGGAGGACAGGTCTTGGAGAGCAGCGGGAGCCTCCACTCCTGCGGCGTAGCGGAAACCTTGGATAGCAGAGACCTTTGCTTTATGGACGCCCCCGAGCTTGTAGCTCTTGGCTGCATTGACCGCCACCGTGATTGTCTCTCCAGCCGTGATTTTCTGGAAGTTGTTGGAAGTAAGACCAGTCTTCTTGTAGTTGACATAGACTCCTTCAAAGGGAAGAGCATTGCCAGCTATTTTGACCATCAACATAAATCCATGGCAGGTAATCGTAGTTGAGGGTATGCATACCTGCATCAGCTACCAACAAGTCCTTGGTCTCATGGGCACTGAACACGGTGTTGCCCTTGAAGACTTGGATCGTCTCGCTTCCAGTGTTGGTGACTTGAACATTCACAACATGGTTGTCTGCATCAGCAATCGAGACCGATAGAGGGCAAGCTGCCGAAGCCGCGCCAGCAAGAAGAACGATCGGAAGCGTCTTAGTGAGCATATTGACAAGCTTTGATAAAGAGTCTTGCTTCAAAGGCAGGTTTGGAGGTAACGAGTGTCAAACTTCGAGAGATCAGTCGCCTCTTAAGTACTATTGCGGTTGGAACTTTCGGCGTCCGGCGTGGGTGATACCACAATGCTCAATTCATTGATGGTGTGCTATCACGGAGGACGGTCTGCGATAAGCAGGTGTTTAAGCTCCCCCATGAGTCCTCATCAAAGCTTAGTCGGTTTTGAGTGAATGCTTTGACTTGCCAAGCCGTCTTGAGCAGGTGTTCAAGCTTCCCCATGATCTCTTGTCAAAGCTTAGTCGGTTTCGAGTGAATGCTTCGGCTTGCCAAACCGTCTTGAGCAGGTGCTCCACACAGTGGTTAATTTATATCGTGCGCAAGTGTGTCCTAGCCAGGCATAGTACGCATCCACTAGCAAATGATGTAAAGATAGCGATACCATGAAAGTGCCGCCCCGTAATTCAGTAGGTGCATATATATGTCGTTGTGTTTATATAGCACAACGCTACGGTAGTTTAGGAAGGTCCCCGGCGTTAAGCGCAGATCAGGGTGTAGAGATCCAGAGTAGCCAACCAAAATGTCGGCGCGCGGAATTCACGTCCTAAGATAGCCCGACAACTGTTATCTTAGCCTCTACTGATTCGGCCCTTACTATAGTTAATCGTAGTCTCTTTAAGTCCCAGGCTTTCGATGCCCTCTACGTTACAAAATGCCAGGAATTGTCAGTGACGTAGGTTACAGGCGAGGGAAACCAAGCGAGTGGAACCTTTTTCCCGACACCCCACCAAACTTCAAGCTCACCCATGATGTCTCAACACAACGACGTGAAGAAGACCTCAGATGAATAAAATATACAGCTTGCCTTACAGGCTATCTAGCAAGCCGCGACACTTAAGCCGCGACGCGCTGCAGCAACCTACAACGTCGCTAAAAGCGCACTACGAAGACGACTCGCTAGAACATCTCAACGACGCGACTGCACCCCTAAATCAATAGCTCTTCGCGGGTCTGAAGACGTAGCAATCGTTCACTATGTTTTAAAGCTACCTGAGCAAGGATACCCGCCTCGGCTGGCTGACGTTAAGGAGGTGGCCAATTCTTTGCTTGTGATCCGCAATCAGAGGCCGGTTGGCAAGAGGTAGGCTGCAAACTTCGTGAAGCGCCGCTCTGATAAAGTGTTATACTACAATACCTCCGCTCAAATTCTCTGCCTTTGTCTCGATCCTTATCTCTGGTCCCTCGATCTTCTTCACTTTCCTTCCTTCTCACTACGACGTATTACCAGCGAACATCGCGACGCCGCATCCTAACGCGATGAAAGTGCCTGTTGCCCACGTCGGACGAACCAAGCGATTATAATACCACATGAAGAAACAAAGAATCGCCTGCAGCAGCGTATTCAAGACCATTATATTAATCGTGAACGCTAACTTCTACATGCTCGTTGGCGGCGCCCTTACTCCCGTAAACGTTGCGGGCTCCAGGTTCTCCCCACCACGTCCTTTGCTCTCGGAAAACCACGCGGGTGGTCAGAACCACGCTTTGTTTTGGTTGAAGAGGCGGCGCATAGCGTTTGGATCGTGGAAGTGGATGGCGCGCTTCACCTAGTAGAAGTCGCGGAAGCGCCAGGGTGCGAGGCTAAAGCCAGTGACGCAGAAGAGCGCGTTAAGGATTTGGCTGTCGATCTTGAGCCAGATCTTATTCTGGCTGTAGTTATTGTCGCAGTCGTAGATCTGCGTGCCGCGTACATAGTATATAGCAGGAGCGGCCTTTAGGAGTAGAAAGAAGAGTATTGCGCCCTATACGTGTAAATGTTAGCGTGTAGAATTATAGCAGGATAAGGAATAATATACTACAATATTAAGGCTATAAATCGTAATTAAGAAGCTAAATAGTATAAGGAAAAATACCTATACAAATTAAGTTAGTAAATATTAGGTTAATATCTAGTAACTATAGCCTATACTACTATAGTTTTATATTATAGAGTTTAACTAAAGTCTACTAACTTACCTTACTACTATTATATAGCTTAACTAAAGTCTACTAGAACTATTATATTATTAAAGTAAAGTCTACTAACTAACTTTACTACTATTATATAGTTTAACTAAAATTATAATATTCTTAATAACCTATATTACTACTATTACGTAAGCTTTACTTACTTATATTATTACTATATTATTACTATAACTCCTTTATATTTATTAACTATTTTACTACTTTTACTAAAACTATTAGATAGCCTAAAGGCTTTATAGTATTCTTAGTGCCTCTATACACCTAGCCTATAGTTTAATAGAAATTATATAAGTTCTTAATACTCTACTATTTATATATAGAGCCTATATGCTATCTTTATAACTTATTAGATAGTATAGTACCTTAATAAAGTACTATTCTTATAACTTATTAAATAGTATAGTACTTCTATAAAGTACTATTCTTATAACTTATTAAATAGTATAGTATTTCTATAAGCTACTCTTAGGCCTATTCTTTTATATATATACTATTTACTAAAAACTATTAAATAGTTTAAAGGCTCTAAGAGCTACTATAAAGGCCTATAAAATATTACTAACCTAGTAGTTATTTAATTATAAACTAGTATAATAGTTTCTTAGTATACTTTAAAGAAACTAGTAGTAACTTTATTCTAGGCTAGTATTATAGTTTCTTAGAGTACTTTAAAAAAACTAAAAGTAACTTTATTCTAGTCTAGTATAATAGTTTTCTAGAGTACTTTAAAAAAACTAAAAGTAACTCTATTCTAGTCTAGTATAATAATTCTTTAAAGTACTTTAGAAAACCTAGAAGTAACTCTATTCTAGTCTAGTATAATAGTTTTCTAGAATACTTTAAAGAAACTAGTAGTAACTTAGTTTTAGCTTATATAAGCTCTTTATATATCTTTAGGTTACTTATAAAAAACTATCTATAAACTAGAAAAGTATTATTATTATAAAAGATATAATAGTATTTTACGCTATAGAGCCTTCTAGTAATATTAATATAATATATTAGCCTATATTTATAATCTAAATAGCCTACTAGAAATAAATAAAGATAGTATAGTATTAGTATAGATACTTATATAGTAAATATTATTTCTATATCTTATTAGGTAAGTATTTATAAAAATAGCTACTTACTAATACTTCTATTATATATTATAGCTATAGGTATAGTTATATAGCCTATATTTTAATCTAAGTAACTACCTTATATAGATAAGTAACTAAAACTTTAATAGCTAATTCTAAGGATTTTTAAAGGTTTATATACTAAACTAAAATACTTAATAGATATAGCTTATATAGTAAAATAACTTAAGGTATTAGAAATCTATATATACTCTACTATTTCTTAAGAGTATATCTTATCTAGTATATTATTTAGCCTATCTAATTTTATACTATAAAGAAAGTTAAACTAAAGTTAATAAAATAAAGTAATTTTCTAATAAAAGTTTATAACCTATTTATTTATACTAATATATACTTAAGCTGTTTATTCTTTACACTAGCTTTCTACCTTTACCTAAAGTAAATAAACTATAAAGCTAGCTTTACCTTCTTTTAAACTATTTACCTTAAATAAATAAACTATATTTATACTAACCTTTCTTACCTTCTTTTTAATACTTTACTTAATCTAAATTTAAATTAGTTAGTATTAAAATAGTAAATAACTAGATTAATATACTTACTAGTATATATTTACTCTAGTATATAAATATATATTCTTATAAGTATAGTAAAATTACTTTTTAGTTAGTAAAAAGATACTACTATTACTATATAGGTATATATATTTATTTATACTTTTAATACAAACTAGTTTATTTACCTATTATACCCCTTTAGGTTGTAGACACCTCTAAAATTTAGTAGGACATAGCGAAAATAAAAATATAAACAGGGGTCTAATAGTAATAATATTATAGTTAGAACTTAGATTTATAATACTACACTACTACTATTACGTATATCCTACTCTATACTCTCTTTTATAAAAGTTTTAATATAATATCTCTTAATTTTAAAGAGTTATTTAATGTTTTATATCTAGAGATAGTTAGATAGAGCTAATCTTAATTAGGAAGTTTTAAGCTAACGCTAAATTAGAATAGGAAGTTTTAAGTTAACGCTAAATTAGAATAGGCAGTTTTAAGCTAACACTAAATATAAGTGTAAAGCCTTAAAGAAAGAAAGGTAGAAAGTAATACTAGTTATATATTTAGTATTAGCTAGCAGTAAAAATTAGGTAGCTATATAGAGGCTAATAATGCGCTTCTTCCTATATAATAAAATATAACCCTTTTATTTTTAAGTATTACTACCTGTCTACTAACCCTAACCTGCTAGTAGGCTTAGAGAACTAGTAGGAGAACTAGTCTAGAAGCAGAGGTAGTTAATACATAGTTACTAGTAAGTATTTCTAGTAACTACGCACTAACTACGCCTACTAGTAGGCTTAGAGAACTAGTAGAAGAACTAGTCTAGAAGTAAAGGTAGTTAATACGTAGTTACTAGTAAGTGTTTCTAGTAACTA